CCCCATGGAAATAGCCTTCATGAGGACGACATTGTTCCTAATCAGTTCTATAGGTAGGTCCGAAATCTAGGTTGACATACCCTGTCCCATTGATCATCATGCAGAGGCAGTGTGCGAATCTATCTTGTATTAGGATAAGGAAGGAAGAAGAAACCAAAAGAAAAGCACGCTCTCTTTCCAATTTCGCCCTTCCCTCCGCGTATAAACAAGGGGGTTTTGGTGCAGAAGAGTAATCAGGATCGGAGAGATCAGCTTCACTCGCCAAGACATTCGAAAGGGGCAACGCAGGGGAGGAGCAGAGGAGGAGGAGGGAGAGATGGAAGGAATGGGGAAGGAACATGAAGAGCTCGAGTTCGAGAAGCTCAGGAAAGCTGGAGGGGTGATCCCACCAAAGAAGAGATCGGTCAAGAGAATGATGTGGGATCGCGCTCTGGGTTGTCTCACCGCTTCTTGCATTTCATCTCCTCCTCAAGCGTTGCAGACCCAGAAACGTAAGAAGAAGATGGTGGTTCCGCCGCCAAACAAGAGGATCGTTCCCCTCCCAGTTTAGCAATCGCCTGCTCGCGATTCTACGCTTTTTCATTTTTGATTTTTGAAATTTCTTGTTGCTGCTGCTGTTGCTGTGTGTGGAATTCGCTGCTTTTCCCGTTTCCTTCTCTTGTGACCCTTTACAGGTGGGTCACAGATATCCATCTCCTATCTTAGTTTCATTTCCAGGTGCGACTCTCGTCCCACGATTCTAGTATTGATCAAGTTTCAGCACTTCTGGGTAAATTTTGGGACTTCCAATTTTCCTTTTTTTGGGTTATGATTCCCTCCCCCCTTTGGCATCTTTCGTGGGTCTAGTTAACATGCAGAGCACGCAGAAAGTGATGAAAAGACAAAAGAACGGCGGTATTGGGAGGGGGATAAAACAGAGCACTGGTGTTGTGACAGTCAAAACATTACCATCCTCGTCCTCGAATTCGGTGTCACTAAACCTGAATTTACGCTATGGCGAAAGAAAAGCAAAGCAATAAAACTGGGTCGATGCATCTGTGAGTGGAAAAGAGGAAAGCAATTGTTGCTCTCGCACGGAACTAGCAGACACAACACAGTGAGAGCGAGAAGAGACAGAGAGAGGTCGTCGGTGTCGTTTTGCTTTCCCTGGGCAGAGGTCGGGGATGTCGTTTTGACCGGTGGTTGAAGTTGGTTAAACCCTGGAGACGGCGCCGATGCAGAAACCTTTATCGCGTGCAAAATGTGAGGGAAAAGAGAGAGATCGGATTCCACGTTCATCGAAAAACCGCCGATGTCAGAGTTCAACTGAAACGTGCGATTCCTAATTTTCCGTTCTTTTGACTTTTGTCTGAAGGTTGATTACTGATTAGTCTTTACGACCGACATGCTCGAACGTTTGCTTATTAGCTCTCGCCCGTGGAAATACAATTTGATAATACAAAAATTCGAGCTTTCATTATCGACAATAATTTATATTTAAATAAATTCATGGGCAATGAAAATATTTTTCGTTCGTTCATTTTTTTATACGATACAAGCGATCATCTTTAGACTTATTTTTCGCATCATTCGTTTTTTTTCGATAGATACGGAGTCTTAAACGCAGGGACTCCCTTGGACTCGTGACGGGCGGCTTCGCTAAGCGGGTTTGCGGCCCCCCTCTGCCCTCGTCGCCGAAACCCTAGCTATGAGGGAGGCTTTGTCGAGGCCTAAGAGGACATGGGAACAGAGCACACGAGCTGAAGAAGAAATTGATCAGGCCGGAACTGGGAAGGAGGTTATATGGGCCGTTCGGTCCATGGTGGAGGACCGCAAGCTGCTGTTGGCCCAGTTAAGTGGCGTGTCCGTTCTCTATGGCTCGAAAAACTAATATGGCCGCAGATTGGGTAGCGAAGGCCCGTACATTGGTTCCCTCCCCCCTAGCTGGCCTTCTAATCCCCGCATTCCTTATGGTTAATTTTATGTTTGGACTGGAAACTTATGTACTCAAGCTCTTAGCTAGTAATGAAATTTCCGACAGAAATAAAATAAAACAATGGGTGGCATATTTCAAATCTATGTCGCAGTTTGAAGCCGACACACGCTTGATGACAAATCCGCTGTCGAAGATTTGATGACGTCATGGGAAAAGGGGTGAGGTTGAGAGAAGGCGGAGGTGTGAAAATATTCCTTTGTAAGACGACCTGTTGGGGCGATCCGTTTCACGATCTGATCCGGTCCGGTTTGGTCCAGTTCCGCTTTGCACACAATGCAGACGAGTCACGAAAATTAGCATCTAGAAGAATGCTTTCTTAATATTCAGTTTAGTAAATCACTACGGTTATGTTAGCAAGAGTGTCAATTCAACATGTAAAAGGAATTCGCAGTAGCTACTCTTCTTCTCACATTAAGACCTTCCAATTTTGTTCAACTACAAACTTACTTATTACAGGAAATCTGGAAAGGGCTGTCTGTCTGAGACTGAAAGTTGACCAAGAGCCGAGAGCCGTCCATGTCGAGCGACGCATGAGGCAAGAAGGAAAGGTGTCGACGTTGAGAGAGGCGTGAGGCGTCGAGGTGAGGCTGTGCCACCGCAAGAGGGAAAGGTGTTGTCAAGCGAGCGAAGGGTTAAGCGAGAGGGAAAGGCAAGACTCAAGAGGGAAGGAAACTAGAAGTGGGGGAAAGGGCATTGGGAAAGAAATTAGATTAGGGTTTCTTTTCTTCATATTAAAAAAAATTAAAATACATATAATCGGTCCGATCCGGTTGGTCCGGTTCCCACCCTCGAACCGGGAACCGGATCGACCGGTCAACGGTTCCAAAAATAGGAACCTGGGACCGGATCAAGAGCCCTTGGAATCACCTAGAACCGGCTGATCTAGGCGGTTTCCGATCTGATCAGTCTGCTATGCTGTCCCCTAACAAGTTCAGCGCATAAATCATTAGATTTTTTTAAGGAATTTTATGTTGGTTCCACCACTATCTTATGTAATCATCGTGGAGGTACGAATAATAGGTTCGCTAATCTCGGATTCTCGATTTGATCTCACCCTTATTTTGGACGCATTTCTTGTTCGGAATCTGCCATAATAGTATGTGTGTCTGTGTATTCTCTTTTCACCCAACGCGTGTCACATAAAAAACAAGTTGAGAATAGTAGGCCTCCAGGTAAATAATATCACAAAAAATGATATTGCATTAATTAGTTATTGTTGAGCCGAGAGGAGACAAAAGCGATGCGCATGTTTGTTTGGGTTTAAGAGAAAACAAAAAAAAGTACTCTTTTTGTTTCTCGCGCACAATTTAAAATATTGATTGAATTTCCAAAATATATGGAAAAAATTATATTGGAACACGTGTCCACTTTTGCATGTTATGAATATTTCATGTGTTCCGACTTTTCGATAGGCTAGAGTGCATGAGTCGCAATATTTATAAGTGAACAGTAAGAAAAGTCAAAGTCAATCCAAACGGACCCATTAATTTTATTGTTTGTGATTGTATCTAGTAACCTATTGACGTACTGATCCAATGAAATTACGAAGGAGAAACGTTGGTAAACTTTTAATTGCAATAAAAAAAACAACGAAAAAAAGTGTCAGATGATTATATTCATGGCACAATTCAATCATCTCTCAGTGAGTAACTCCGAAGTGCTATAGGATTTACGACTTTATTTCAACAATTTGGCAATTTTCAAAAGGGTCCTCGACGTTCTTTTGTGGCACATTGAGGCACATCTAATTGAGTATTGACAGCTTGCCATCACCTCCTCAATTTAAGTTTTGTTAATGAGAACTTTTGAATCTGTTTTTGTTCCGTAAGTCAAATTGGACGGTGTTAACTTTATGACTCGATTGAATCAATTTGACAAGTTTTAGGACTTGATTAAACTTTTTGCAAATTTCAGGACTCAATTGCAATTTCGTGCTAAGTTTGAGGATTTCTAGTGAACATATCCCTTGTTTTATTTATCAATCTTAGTATCCTCGAAAGAGACCAAAATTGATCTATGCAATGTTGTTACACTTGATGCGAAAAACCTTAATTTTTATTCTAACTTCTTATTTGTGCAGATCACACTGCCCGGAAGAAATCTTTGAATTGCCTTTTGATACAAAAAAGATAGAATTGTTGGTTGAATAGGAAAAGAGGGGAGAAAAGAAAAAGGAAAAAAAAGATACAAGGATCCAATCCGTCGATCACGGCCATATGTCATCGAGCATCAATTAAAGCTTGTGAAATTAACCTCCTCGCCTCTTTTGGTGCTCCCGTAAGCAATGCCTATATGTCAATTAGCCAAAAAAATTTCTCATCGATTCATATTCACGAATAATTTAGTTATTTATTTGAAGAGAGAGCGCAAAAATCAAAGAATATGTTAGTAAAGTCCAACCAAAAGCTTAAGTCGATAGGTAGAGGAAAAGCACATAACACGGGACAATATTTCAACACCCCATCTCAAGTCTCACGTGCAAGCCGGATTATGAGCGGCGAGTGGAATTTGACTAATGAGGGGTGGATACACATTCGCGAAAGGGACAGCCCTGACTCGGATACAATATTAGAAAGTCCATGAGATGGCTATATAAGACAATAGAATCAAGATGTGCACCATCAATGGAGATACACGTTCAATCTTGAGAGATATAGATAATCAATAGTGACATCATAATTGTCTCAATCGTAGGTAAATATCCTAAAGAAAATCTTAAGAATCCCCGATATAATATCGCCAACAGAATCGATTTTGAACTTAAAGGATCTAAACTGCTCCTAAAAATTCATTGTCTTTTGTAGATTATATCATGCACATTGGAAGAGAGCCATCGTCACACTTCACCCCCACAAAGCATATAGACCCGTTGCACAACGGTTTTCATTCCCGGCAAGCGAATTCAAACGAAGCTGAAAAGGCAAAAGAAAGCCAAAAAGCAAGAAACCCACCTTTCCCCCCTTCCTCACATTCCTAGTTTCAAACGACGCACATTACATTAAATATATATCGTCTTCGCCACCTATCAAGCCTATGGTTTCGAATCCCTCCTTTTGCCTCCCCTTGTACCAAAAGAAAAAAAAATGGGTTCTTGCTTCAGCAAATGCAGACCCCAAAGGCATCGTCGCTCCTTCCCACAAGAACCGCTCGATCCAAGCAGCGGCAACATCCTCGTCCAAGACAAGCTCGTGATCTCCCAACAACCACCACCGCCCAAGACGCCGCTCGCTCAGTCCCGTCGCATCTCGCCCTCCCCTCATTCGCCTTCCAAATCTTCTTGCTCATCGTCCGCCACTTGCTGTTCTTCCTTCACCGCCAGCAGCGCCAAGCCTGGCGGCGCCGTCTCGTGCTCGTCTTCGTCGTCGCCCACTGCGTCCTCTGCCCTGAGCTCCAAGGATCGGTCCTTCTCCAACGACTTCCTGTGGTCTTGCGCCAAGGAGAATTCCCACATACTCCAGATCAACTCGCTCAAGGTGAACTCCCTACTAGCGCTGGCGGATAAGTTCCCCGACGTAGAGCTGGGGTCGTCGCCGGCCAAACCGCGACTCGCGGCGCCGGCGAGGCACGCGACTCCCTCGAACTCGGCCGTGAATGCGGCTCAAAAGAGAACTCGAGCGTGCTCGCCGAATTTGGCCCGGCAAAAGAGCTTCAGGGCCGATCAATCGGACGGGTCATTGCCAAGCTGCGCGCATTCTCTGCCTAGGAGGACCTTGCGGTCTCCATCGCCAAGTAGGAGATTCGACGGAGGAGAGAAGTGCAGGGGCATCTTAGTGAACACGGTGAGCGACGACGGCGGCGGCAGCAAGCGTTTGGCGGCGACTACTAAGGTTAGCGCTCCTAGTAATTACGTGGGCACGAATTCAAGGAGAGAGAATGTCGTTAGGCCGCCGAGCCTGAACAACAATCTGAATCGGCCGATCCGACCCGGTTTGGTGCATTCAGAGACTCTCCTGTCTCGCCAAATTGGTCCCAAAGTTGGCGAAATTGCCCAGAGAGTTTTGGCCGACCAAGACATGACCGACTCCGTCGAGGACCTTAACAATCCACTCATCTCGTTGGACTGTTTCATTTTTCTTTAATCATGTTCGATTTTTTTTTCTCTTCTTTTTCCCCATGCATGAACTCATTTTTTTGTTCTATGGTGTGCCCCGGATTTTGTGTGCGTGTGTGTACATAGACAAGGCTTGGTTTATGATTTTTTTTTATATATATATATTCAATTCATAACCATTATTTCAATTTGTAATTCGTCATAAGATGAAGAGGGATGGCTGGCTTGTGAGGTTTCGTTGTTTTCGTCGTGTGACAACATGTTCGGACGGTCCATCCGTTCTCGAAATGAATGTTTAGGCTTCTGATCGTAGACTTTCGTTTGTTTAAATTCAAAACCGAATTCAAATGGGATGCAAACGTTTGGTTCATCCAGGTCAGGTCAGGTCATGAGGGCATATGGGTAATGCTCGGCCTTTCTAGGAGGCAACATATATGCACAATCAAAGGGAAATATACGTGTAATCGATACGGATAATTAACAGAATTATCGAAATATCTCAAGCACAGGAAATTATCCTAGGATGGTTCCCTAATAATCTCTAACAATGGTCATGGACCGAAGACTCCCGAAAAAAAGCTTTCGCACACTTTTTCTGAATCGGTGGACTTTGGCCCAGTATCGATGTCGGCCATATTACTAAGGCTTACCCTGTCCCAATGCGACATCCGAAGTCTCGCATGGACGGAGCCCAAATGAACTGAATCGCTCGCGCGACAGAGGACGCGCATAGTTGTTAGGGACTGGCCTTTTATGTCTTCTTCTTCTCTTGGTATTTGAGCGACCGCAGGGTTTCCCTCCTTAACCGGCACAGAAATACAGAGATGAAAAAACGATAGATGAATTGATGATGATCTTCATAGGCTTTCGTGTCTAGTTCCCAAACTATGGAGAAAATATCGGGTACAACTCTAATTAATGCCAACTCAGCAAAAAACTAGTCCATTCACCTCGCGACATGCGTCGTTCGCGGGCCCACCTGTCAGATCTCTATCCCTTTGTGTCTCTCCCCTTGCACCTCTCATTCTTCTTCTTCTTCACCCTTTCTTTTCCTTTCTTCTTTTTTTTCTTTTTAAATTTCTTTCTCTTTGGCATGTGGCCGGGACTCGACCATGGCCGGCAATCGGCCAGAGGCGAGCGTCGCTTTCGCCGGATTCGGCGAGGGCTCGACCCTCGCTGGATTTGATCCGGAAGTTGTGTTGAGACTTGAGAGGCTACGACATTGGAGCCACAAGGAACTTGAGGATGTAGGGGCTTAGGGAAGGCTCGGGGTTGGGAACAACGGGGGGGCTTGGGCTTGTTCTTGGACCTCAATGGTGAAGTCATCGCCGGAGGGGATCAGCGGACGAGTAGAGCTAGGTCGTCGGGAGGGAGGGAGAGAGAGAGAGAGAGAGAGAGAGAGCAGCGCGTGAGATTACAGGGGAGGGAAAGAGAGACCGTGAGAGCGAACTGGCAGGTGGGCCCGTGAATGACACGTGCCGCGAGGTGAATGAACCAATTTTTTTCTTTGGCAAAGTTGGTATCGGCAGCGAAGAGGGAGACAGGTGGGGTTATGAAGTCTGTAAAGTGTACGATGATTATTCTCCTAGGCTAGTGCTGCCCCACAAAGCAAAGATAAGCAAAACCCACGTGAAGTTTGTCGTTGTGGCTCTCGAGAATGACCGGCACGATGGCATTCGCAACGACCGGAAAGTCCCCCATTGTCGCCGCGGAGTGTTGCCTATGATTGTGATCTTATTAGAGAGGGGCTGGGTGACTCTTTCTTATTTTCTTTTGTTTTTTCTTTTCATATGAATGTTTATTAGAGTGGTAAATTTTTTACATTAGGTTTTGAAGTTTAGTTGGATTTCTTTATGAGCCGCTCAAATCATTAAAAAGCATAGACCCAATTCAAATTATCATTTTTAGGGAAAATTACCATAAAAGTCCTAAACCTGTCGCAATTGTGCAAATTTCAGTCTTAAACCTTTTTTTTTTGGGGCCAATTGAGTCATCATCCTTTTGCATTTGTGCCAATTTAGTCAATTATGCCAATTTTTGGCTAGAAATCGCTAACATGGACATTGGCCATCCTACGTGGCGTGATCAACACTGACGTGGACAACTTTTATTATTTTTTTTCTGATTTTATTTTTATTTTTTCTTATTTTCTTTCTCTTTCTTTTTTTCTTCCTTTTTTACTTTGGTGAGGTCGAGCCTTACCTAGCTATGGCAAGTGTGGGCGAGGCTCGACCTTGCCCTAGAAGTCACTTGATGCTCCTTTTTTCAAGTGTTCGGAGGCACCATCCATGATTTTACCCACCTGGCACGGTTCGCCCTTGCCAGTGGCCGGCGAGGTCAACCTCCCTGCCTCTCGCCTCTGGTCGGTCGCCCAAGTCTGATGGCTGGCTAGAGGAAGAAGTGAAAAAAAAGAGAAAGAAAAGAAAAAAGAAATAAAAAATTTTAAAAAAAATTAGAATATTATTAAAAATTGTTCACATCAGCGCCGATCGCGCTACGTAAGATGGCTTGGGTCTATGTTAGCGATTTTCCGGCCAAAATTGGCTAGATGTATTGAATTGGCACAAATGCAAATGATTTATAACTCAATTGGCAAAATTAAAAGATTTATGACTTAATTGGCACAATTACTATATGTTTATGACTTTTTTTTATAATTCTTCCATCATTTTTAAGTTCATCTAAGAACCATCTAGAGTTTTATCAGATGGAGAGTCATAAGTGGGACGAAAGCTATCTAGGTGAAGGATTCAATTCATGTTCCAAAAATATAGTGACATATTCGAATTATAGTATGTTTATGCACTAAAATTTTTATAAATAGACAATCTTGGAGAAACCAACCAATTTTGATAAATTGTTATTATCAATTACTACTTAATTTCATTTTTCCCCAGTCTCTAATCTTTGCCATTACATCGTTGTCTTATTCGTCTATGTAATTGACAATCTCAAAAGGAATCAAAATTATTTGATCACAAGGAATATATCATGATTATGAAAAATACAAGTCCCCAATGGTTAATTGATCAATTGATTTGGGAGATATGTGTAATCTCTTTGTATCGTGCAATATCTTTGATTGATTCCATTAGTGTCAACTTAGGATAGCAATCTTCTATCACAATTGTATGGAATACCTAAGTATATCCTCACCATGGATTGGTCTAATATATACATATATCTACATATATCTACATATACAAAAGAGCTGGTCTTGAGTTCAAATCATTCTAGACACCTTTATGCCTCCCCTTTTATATATTTTTATGCTTTGATCTTAGACCAAGTCCCGCCTATGTGTTAGAGGGAGTGTTAATAGTATATGAACATTAAACAACGCCTTCATTTAACAGTTTAAGTTTTTAGAACAGTTGGCATCGGTCTCAAAAAATTTTACAAAGATGAAGGGTGATTTACTTGCACTTTATTATGTGGGCGATGAACAAAAGAGGTCTAGCCCTATGCCCATAATTAAGGAAAATTACCCAATTAGTCTTAAACATTTCAATTTTGCCAATTTAGGCCTAAATTTTTGCACGAAATTCTAATATAGTCATTTTGGCTAATTTTCGCTGGATATTGCTGATGTGATAGTCTATTCATCGCCTGTTGTTCCATGTGGTACACCACCACATTAGTAATTTCTGGCGAAAATTGGCCGGAATGATTATACAGGAATTTTGCCCAAATGTTTAAGACTAAATTGGTAAATTTGGGAAGTTTATAACTGAATTAATATCCAAATAATATATTTAAGACTGATTGGATAAATTTCCTAGTAAATGCCATGTAACATTTGTAAAAGTGGAGTCAAAACAAATCGGTCCGTGCAAAATAATTCTATCCTCATAGCTTACGAGGGTAAGGGCCACCTACGCACGTAACTTCAAAATTTCAAAATAGGGTGACAATCCTCCGGTCACAATCGGGTGAGACACCAAGGTAGACAGTGAAAGCGACGTTAAAAAGGCTCTTCATAAAAATTGGGCCACTGATAGTCATGGTGTTTTCGTTTTCGGATGTGAAATGAAAACTACAGGGAAAGAGAGAGATGGTGGCGGTTGGCACAAACTACCGAGTTTGAGAGAGATGGTGGCGGTGGCAATGCCGACCGCCGAGCCGTGTGCAAACGATTAAGCCGGTAAATGAAGTCGACGGCAGTGAGGGAGCCATTCAAGGGAAGCTCGAACGGTGTTCAACGTAGCGAGGACTGTGGACAAAGAGGAGAGAAAATTGACAGAATCAAGAAAGAGTAGTCGGACTTGTGGTTAGGCGGTTCTGTAGTCACCTGAATCCATTACTGGTACTTTCAAATTCTACTAATCATAATTAAGCAGCAGTAACGAATTTTCCAAAAGAAGAATATCGAGTATCATATCAAATGATGGCGTTTAGTATTTACTATGTAGTCTTTAATGGTGCATTTTGTATCTTTCAAGTTCCTCTCTTTTCATTCACTTTGAATGTTCACGTATCTAAAAATACTCAATGACAAGTTTTCTTGCCTTATCTCCAGATAAAAAGGCGAACTTTCTAGCATTATGAAGAGGATGAAAACAGATATAAATGCTTTGATCTGGTTTAAAATGACTATTAACCATCAACCTGTAAAGAAAAAAAGAACGCGACCATCTGCCTTGCGTATTGCATTTGAGGTTCTCGTACATTAGGATAAAGTTTGGACTACTATTTAGTACGCCGATGGCTTAAAAGGTTTACTTGCTCAGAGGAAGGTGGATTTGGAAAAGGATTTCAAAAGATAACGTTTATTCTGAATATTGAAGTACAATTTACAATAATCTTAGGCGCCTATTTATAGGGAAGTCGTCTTTTGGGGAACAACCAAATATTTAAAATCAAATAACATAATTAAGGAAAACAATATGGATAAAGGGAAAAGTCTTCAAAACGCATTCATAAATCTGCAAATCACGTCCGAAATCTTAGGCCAGGAAATCTAAGGATTTTGATTTTATATGTTGTTCACGTCATAACTCCTCCAAATCAAAAGTTATGATCGTTTGAAATTGAGTTGTCATTAAGGCAAGGGCGGGAGCGCTTGCTCTTATGAAGACCAAAGGTT